GATTATAGATACCAGACTACCGGTAAGGCAGTTAATGTGCGCCGTGGTTTCGTCCAAGACGAAGGAATGTACTTTTATCCCCCTTGCTGGGCGAGCACTCCAATGTTAGAGAGATCGTAGTGAATCATTCTTAAACAGTAAAAGACAGTACATCCTTAAGATAGTAAAACATCAATAAGTCTCTGGCATCTTTCTGGGGTTTTATTTTTATAAGACAGTATATCTAGTTTCTTAAAATATTCAGGAGAGCCACAAAAAAAAAAACCCAACCCCCAAAATCGCAAACAAATATTTGCCTCTTAACAGTACAGTCAGTCGCTTTGAATATGTTCAAAAACACGTCCCCACCTTATTTAAATATTTATTAAGATTATAGATACCAGACTACCGGTAAGGCAGTTAATGTGCGCCGTGGTTTCGTCCAAGACGAAGGAATGTACTTTTATCCCCCTTGCTGGGCGAGCACTCCAATGTTAGAGAGATCGTAGTGAATCATTCTTAAACAGTAAAAGACAGTACATCCTTAAGATAGTAAAACATCAATAAGTCTCTGGCATCTTTCTGGGGTTTTATTTTTATAAGACAGTATATCTAGTTTCTTAAAATATTCAGGAGAGCCACACAAAAAAAAACCCAACCCCCAAAATCGCAAACAAATATTTGCCTCTTAACAGTACAGTCAGTCGCTTTGAATATGTTCAAAAACACGTCCCCACCTTATTTAAATATTTATTAAGATTATAGATACCAGACTACAGGTAAGGCAGTTAATGTGCGCCGTGGTTTCGTCCAAGACGGACTTGTGAAATAAAACTCTATCGTTTTCGAGAGAGTTCCTGTTTATGACGAAGGAATGTACTTTTATTCCCCTTGCTGGGCGAGCACTCCAATGTTAGAGAGGTCGTTGTGAATCATTCTTAAACAGTAAAAGAGAGTAGCTCTTTAAGATAGTAAAAAAAATGTTTTAAGTCTCTGGCTTCGTTCTGTAGTTTTATTTTATAAAGACAGTATATCTAGTTTCGTAAAATATTCAGGAGAGCCACCCCCCCCCCCACCTCCAAATAATAAAACGCAAACAAATACTTGCCTCTTAACAGGCAGTCGCTTTGAATACCTTTAAAAACACGTCCCCATCGTATTTATTAAGATATAGATAGCAGACTAAGGCGGAAATATGCGCCATGGGGTTTTTTTCATTAGGTGGAATCGATCATAACTCATTTTTTGTCCAAAACTGACTTTTAAAATAAAACTCTTGCGTTTTCGAGAGAGTCTCTGGTTAGGAGGAAGGAATGGACTTTCATTCCCCCTTGCCGCGCTGAACACTCCAATGTTAGAGAGGTCGTTGTGAATCATTCTTAAACAGTAAAAGACAGTAGCTCTTTAAGATAGTAAAAAAAAAGTATTTTAAGTCTCTGACATCTTTATAGAGTTTTATTTTATAAAGACAGTATAACGATATCTAATTTCGTAAAATATGCAGGAGAGCAAAAAAAACAACAACAAAACCCCCAAAACGCCAACAAATATTGGCCTCTCAACAGTCAGCCGCTTTGTATATCTTCAAAAACTCGTCGCCACCTTGTTTACTAAGATTATAGAAACCAGACTAAGGCAGAAATGTGCACCGTGGTGGGTTTTTCTTTTAACTTTTCACCTTTGGGTGGAATCGATAACTCAATTTTGTCCAAAACTGACTTCTAAAATAAAACTCTATCGTTTTCGAGAGAGTTCCTGTTTATGGGGAAGGAATGGACTTTTATTCCCCATTGCCGGGCCCAATACTCCAATGTTACAGAGGTCGTTGTGAGTCATTCTTAAACACCTCCCTCGAGTATTCTCTATGGTAAAAGCCAATATATTCTCCGAAAAACCTAAAGGCTTTATGAATGCTGATTTCCCTGAAGACTTA